GGCCTCGGCCTCCCTGCCCTGTTGCTGGCCCTCCAGAGGGACTGGCTGGCCCCTGTGTGAGACAGGAGGCTGGACTGGATGGACCCTCACTGGTCTGATCCAGCAGGGCTCTTCTGAGGTTCTTCTCAGGGGAAGGCCTCGGCCTCCCTGCCCTGTTGCTGGCCCTCCAGAGGGACTGGCTGGCCCCTGTGTGAGACAGGAGGCTGGACTGGATGGACCCTCACTGGTCTGATCCAGCAGGGCTCTTCTGAGGTTCTTCTCAGGGGAAGGCCTCGGCCTCCCTGCCCTGTTGCTGGCCCTCCAGAGGGACTGGCTGGCCCCTGTGTGAGACAGGAGGCTGGACTAGAGGGACCCTCAGTGGGCTGACCCAGCAGGGTTCTTCTGAGGTTCTTATGTACATGTTCAAGTGAGGATTAGGAGAAGGACCAGTTAGAGAACATATGGAGAAGCAGGGTATCTCTCCATCCAAATTTCAGGAAGAAGAAGAAGAGATTGGATCTATACCCCGCCCTTCACTACCCAAAGGTGTCTCAGAGTGGCTTACAAACTCCTTTCCCCTCCCCTCCCCACAACAGGCACCCTGTGAAGCAGGTGGGGCTGAGAGAGCTCAGACAGAAACAGCTCTTTTCCAAGGACAGCTCTGAGAGAACTAGGGGTTGCCCACGGTCATCCAGCCAGGTGCAAGTGGAGGAGTGGGGAAATCGAACCCGGTTCTCCCAGACTAGAGTCCGTGTACTAAACCACCACACCAAACTGAGAGGGAAGCCAGGCAGCCACCCGTCGGGACGCCTACTCTTCTGATGAATATCCCCCTCCTCTGGGGCTGAAACAGCTGGGGCTGCCCCCCCCCCGTTTCTCCAAGGACTCCCTTCCCAGCTGCTCCTACGACACAAACGGGAGCTTCTCCCCAACCGGCCGCAGCCTGTGGACGCAGGTGGTCCTTAGATGGTAGTCCCTGAAATGACACACACACAAGAGAAGATGGCTGGGGGGGGGGAGTAGGGGGGGGGGCCATTGGCCTGGCACGGAGAGGGCGGTTCCTGCTGGACTGCCAAAGAGAGGGGAGAAGCTCCCGGGAATCCCACAAAGGCAATAAAAGCACCTCCCCTGAGCTCTGAGCGGGGCTGGGTCTTCTCTCCTCACCAAGCAGAGGCCTGGCGCTGCCGTCCGCGATGAGCGCACCCACCCACACCGTCCACATCGCCGTGAGTTCTTTCCCCGTCATTCTTTTGTCGCTTGGGGAACAGTGATTTTCTTTCCAATTGCAAAAAGATATGCCAAGATAGAACAATAGAACAACACGAAGACACACAATTAGGAAACTCCTACGGTAGCTGAGCAGCTAGAAAGGGGGGAAGGAGACAGACATCCTCCTCTTTAAAAGCCGAGTTCCGCAAGCAGGAAGCCCATCTTCTGGGACTGGACTCTTTGGAAGGCTGCAAGCAGATTAGACCCTAAAGGACCCTGAATGCTTGTGGGGTTGCAGGGAGAGCCTTGTGCGAGGACTGAGGCAGCAGCCCGGGGACCACTCCGGAGGGACCTTTGTGCTTCACCCTCTGATACTCCGGGAGGCACACCAGGGGCTCAGGTGAGGCTTTCTGTTGTGTTCGTGACTCTTGGTGCTCCTTTCTGCCTCTTCTTCCTCTGCTCTGCTCAGCTGGCTTAACTGCTGTATCATCTGAATCATAGAATGTTAGAGCTGGAAGGGACCTTGCAGGTCATCTAGTCCAACCCCCCCTGCACTCTGCAGGAGCACAGCCGAAAGACAGCCCTACAACATACCCGAAAGAGGGTCGCCCAGCCTCCTCCGCTTGAAAATGTCCAGCGAAGGAGCCTCCACCCCCTCCTGAGGCAGTCTGTTCCACGGCTCAACCACTCTTACAGTCAGGAAGTTTCTCCTGATATTTAGCCAGTATCAACTCCCTCGTAATGTCCACCCATTAGATCTAGTCTTGCAATCCGGAGCAAGAGAGAATAGATCCGCTCCATCTGCTGGACTTGGTGTGGGGGCCCCCGGTGTCAGGTAGCCCTGTCATGAATCTGGAATGGGGAGGGGTTTTCTCCTCCCCGTTCTCAGCTCTTCCCTGTCCAGCTACTGTGCGCTATCTCTACACTTGATCTTGTAGTCTCCAGCTGCAGTTTACTCGGCTGGGAAAGTAACGGCGTTTCTCTTGACTGCTTGCTTTTGCCCATGTGCGTGAACTATAATCATTGGCTTCAGCTCATTGGGGGGATGTTTGATTTCACTATAAGTCAGAGGCCCTTATACTGACGGCTATTCCTGACACAAGCTGTACACGTGTTCTTTAGTCCTGGATCCACCAATAAAGCAGCTCTCTTCTTCTGAAGCCCCGTGTGGTGTGACCTGCCTAAAGACCCTGACACCCAGGCAAGCACCCGGTGATCCTAGCAGGACCCTGCCGCCTCATATTTCCCTGCCTCTGGGAAATGCCGGGCTTTGTTCCGGACTTCGTCTCTGTAGTGGGAGCTTTTAGGGAGAAACTGGGGGGTGACTGGTGAGACTTCCTGCTCCTGGATTCTGAAAGCCTTCTTTTTTCCAGCCGGTCTCCTGTGAATGTGGGGAGGGGGGGTCAGTTTGGCAGTGGGGGGGCTCCTGACCGGCATTAATATGTGTGGTGCACTCCTACACACTTGACGAGTGCCAGAGGTCATTTTACCATCTTTGCCACCAGCCAGTATCTCTTTCGTTTAATCAGACGGGTCTCTGGACCTTGGAGATGGCAAGCGAAGCCTTCTGGCTACTTTTTACCACTCGTTTTTATTTTCCCATAACACTTGTCTCCCCCTGTCCCCCAGCTGGGGACCAGAGTGCCTTACGAAGAAAACCATCCAATTGCACACCTGCAAAGTCAGATCAATCTCTTTATCAGGGGTAGGTTCAGGTGAGGTCGCCGTGCTGATCTGAAGCAGCAGGACAAAGTTTGAGTCCCCTGGTGGGGGCACCTTTCAGACCAACAAAGTTTAAGAACCTAAGAGAACATCAGAGAGAAGCCAGTGTTGGGGAGGTCCAGCAGTGGTGCCAGGACACTAGAAGCCCTCCCACTGTTGCCCCCCCCAAGCCCCAAGAATACAGAGCATCCCTTGCCCCAGACCAAGAGTTTCTATCTATACCTTGTGGTTAAGAGCCACTGATGGACCTCTGCTCCATATAAGAACATAAGAGAAGCCAATGCTGGCCCCTCCAGTCCAACACTCTGTGTCACACAGTGGCCACAAATACCAGGTGCCCTCAGGAGGTCCAGCAGTGGGGCCAGGACATTAAAAGCCCTCCCACTGTTGACCCCCCCCCCAAGCACCAAGAAAGAGCATCCCTTGCCCCAGATCGAGAGTTTCTATCTATGCCTTGTGGCTAAGAGCCACTGATGGACCTCTGCTCCATATGCTTATCTAATTCCCTTTTGAAGCCATCCATTCGTGTAGCCGCCGCCACCTCCTGTGGCAGTGAATTCCATATGTTCATCACTCTTTGGGTGAAGAAGGACTTTCTGTTATCCGTTCTAACTCGACTGCTCAGCGATTTCATGGCGTGCCCACGAGTTCTTGTATTGTGAGAAAGGAAGAAAAGTACTTCTTTATCGACTTGCTCTATCCTGTGCATAATCTATCAAACCTCGATCACGTCACCCCTCAGTCGTCGTTTCTCCAAGCTGAAGAGCCCCGAGTGCTTTAACCTTTCCTCATAGGGAAAGTGTTCCAATCCTTTATCATTCGAGTTGCCCTTTTCTGCACTATTTCCAAAGCTATAATATCCTTTTTAAGGTGTGGTGAACAGAACTGTACACAGAATTCCAAATGAGGTCGCACCACTGATTTATATAGGGGCATTATGATACTGGCTGATTTGTTTGCAGTTCCCTTCCTAATAATCCCCAGCATAGCATTGGCCTTCTTTATTGCAGTCACACACTGTCTCGACATTTTCAGTGAGTTATCTACTACAACTCCAAGATCTCTCTCTTGGTCAGTCTCCGCCAGTTCGGACCCCATCAACGTGCATTTATAGTTAGGATCTCTGGCTCCAATGTGCATCACCTTGCACTTGGCCACACTGAACCCCATTCGCCACGTTGACGCCCACTCGCCCGTCCTCGACAGATCCCTTTGGGGTGCTGGGGATGAGCTCTCGTGTGCATGCTGACACCCAGAATGAAGCTTACATCCAGAATAAAACTTTGTTGGTCTTAAAGGTGCCTGACTGGACTCAAACTCTGTTCATTATCAAGGATAGTTTGGCAGCCATGTTGGTCAGCAGTAGAAGAGCTGGATTCGAGTTCCGGAGCGCCTTAGAAACCCACAAGATTTTGAGGGCCTGAGATTTCAAGGGTCAAAACTCCCTTCCTCAGATACCTGACAAGGAGAACTTTGACTCTTGCAACCTTTGACCACAGGGTCTTTACTGTCAAGGATGCTATTGAAAAACTCACCAACTGCCTCTTTGTTCACAGTGTAGCTGCAGAAACAGAACAGATTGACGGAAGGCGGGATCGAAAGAGCAGCTTTTCATTTCCAGCTGTGACACACCACTGAGCAGAGCCGGTCTGGCCCCCCCCCTCCTGTCCGCGGCGCTCTTCCCCCAACTGCAGAAACATCTGGGCATGTAAACCGGCCTGCGAGCTGGCTTTCCCTTGTCTTGTTCCCTCCGAATAAAGGTACTTTGCTGAAATCACTCAACGCTTCTCAGTACTTTTCAGGGATATTTACTGTCAGGGATGCTATTGAAAAACTCACCAACTGCCTCTTTGTTCGCAGTGTAGCTACAGAAACAGAACAGATTGACTGAAGGCCGAAAGAGCAGTTTTTCATTTCCAGCTGTGGCACACCACTGAGCAGAGCTGGTCTGCCCACCCCCCCTCCTGTCCGCGGCGCTCTTCCCCCAACTGCAGAAACATCCGCCCCCCTCCGCCTCCCCCCTCTGTACGAGTCGGCCGTGATGCCTCCTCTGCTCCTTCCAAGAGGGGGTCTATGAGAAAGAAGCCAAAATGCTGGGGGATGCCACATTCCCCGTCAACCAAAGCAGCTCCTACCCGGAGTACTTCATCCTGGTGGGCCTCCCAGGGATGGAGGAGTATCACACCTGGCTGGCCATCCCCTTCTGCCTGATGTACCTCCTGGCCCTGCTGGGCAACGCCTCCCTGCTGTTCATCATCTCGACCGAGCGCAGCCTCCACCAGCCCATGTACTTCTTCCTGGCCATGCTGGCCGTGGCTGACCTGGCCCTGTCCTCTTCCACCGTCCCCAAAACCCTCGGCGTCCTTCTGGCGTCTTCCCGGGAGATCTCCTTCGCTGCCTGCCTCACCCAGATGTTCTTCACGCACGTCAGCTTCATCGCAGAATCCACCATCCTGCTGGCCATGGCCTTTGACCGCTACGTCGCCATCTGCGACCCGCTGCGCTACACGGTCGTCCTCACCCACGCGGCGATCGCCAAGATTGGCCTGGCCGCCCTGGCGAGGAGCTTTTGCGTGATGCTCCCGACCCTCTTCCTCCTCAGGAGACTCCCCTACTGTGGGCAGAGGGTCATGCCCCACACTTACTGCGAGCACATGGGCATCGCCCGGATGGCCTGCGCGGACATAGCCGTCAACATCTGGTACGGATTCACCACCACCCTCTTGTCCCCGGTCCTCGACCTGGTGCTCATCGCCGCCTCCTATTCGCTGATCCTCCGGGCCATCTTCCGGCTCCCGACCAAGGAGGCCCGCCTCAAGGCTGTGGGCACCTGCGGCGCTCACCTCTGCGTCATCCTCCTCTTTTACACGCCGGCCTTGTTCTCCTTCTTCGCCCACCGGTTTGGCCGCGGCATCCCGCAGCCCGTCCTCGTCCTCTTGGCCAACGTCTACCAGCTTCTCCCACCGATGCTCAACCCCATCGTCTACGCGGCCAAGACCAAAGCGATCCGGGAACGGCTGGTCCACGCGTTCAGGCCAGCAGGAAACGGGCGCCGAGTCCTCATCTCAAATTAAGTGAAAATGGAAGCACTTAATTCCAGGAGAGGTGCTTCACCCGGAAGCAGGACATGAATTTCCCGTTTCCCTCCCTATTTCAAACGGGTCATGTTATGGATTGTGAGAAAAGTGTTTCCTATTCTATCCACAGGGAGTAGCTCCGGACATGAAAAGACCGCCACTGGATCAGACTCATGGACCAGGTACTCTGGCAGGCTCTTTTCTGTTCCCTACTCAAGATTTTCCTCTCTCGGATCATGTTTTCCCCTGAACTGGGGGCTGTAACTGAGCTTAGGTTTTGTAGCATCCTTTCCTTTTGCCCTTAGAATGATCGGCCCCGTTTCTCTTATTTGAATCATAGAATCGTAGAGTTCGAAGGGACCTCCAGGGTCATCTAGTCCAACCCCCTGCACAATGCTGGAAATTCACAAATACCTCCCCCCCACACACACACCCAGTGACCATTGTTCCCTCTAAGCTGAGTTAGTGTGAGCTAGCTCACAGCTTTTTAGCTTCTGGCTCACACATTTTTGTCTTAGCTCAGGAAGGAGGGCTCCAGAGCAACCTAATGCACGCAGTAGTCAAATCGCTCGCTCACAACTTTTACACCAGTCGCTCGCAAAGTAGAATTTTTGCTCACAAGACTCCACAGCTTAGAGGGAACGTTGCCAGTGTTCCCCGCTCCATGCCCAGAAGATGGCAAAAAAAAAAAACCCACTCCCGGATCCCCGGGGGCCAAACTGGCCTGGAGAAAAACTGCTTCCTGGCCCCCAAAGTGGCGATCGGCATTTCCCTGGGCGTGTTAGAAAGGGCCACGAGAACTCTAAGCCCTGAGGCTGCAGCCCTTCCTGCCCCCCCTTCTCAGGATCTGCCTCAGTTCACTTAGTAATTAGACTATTTCAATATCTCCAGTTCTGGTTTTGAGCGTGGGGTTTAGGGGCATTAGTCAAAAAGTGACTGTATCGAGGCTTTCAGTAAAGACTGCTGAGTCATTCTGGAAGCTGCAGAGGCGGCACAGTCAGTGTTTGGGGGGGGGAGAGAAAAGAGCCTTTGTTATCTCTTGAGAGGGGCCCCAAAGGAGCCTTCTCATCCCAGGGAGCATCTCTGCCACGGGGAGTTCATTTCTGTCTGGGACACCTTCCTCTTTGCTCCTCCAAGAGTCTTTTATGCTTTTCCCTCCATCCAGCCAGTTTGGTGTCGTGGTGAAGTGCGCGGAATCTAATCTGGGAGAGCCGGGTTGGATTCCCCACTTCTCCTCCACTGGCACCTGGCTGGATGGCCTTGGGCAAGCCGTAGTTCTGATAAGAGCTGTCCTTGAAAAAGAGCCGTTTCTGTCAGAGCTCTCTCAGCCCCACCTACCTCACAGGGCGTCTGTTGTGGGGAGGGGAAGGGAGAGGAGATTGTGAGCTGCTCTGAGACTCCTTCCGGCTCACACATTTTTGCCTTCGCTCAGGAAGGATCCAGAGAAAACTAATTGATGCAGGAGCCGAATTGCTCACTCACAACTTGAATGCCAGGAGCTCACAAAGTGGAATTTTTGCTCACAGGACTCCACAGCTGAGAGGGAGCATTGGGGTCTGTGCGAGTCTCACGCAAAAGTCCCTCGGGCGACAGAGACACCCAGGCAGCTGAACACATCTCTCTGGCTTGAACGGGATTCTTCTGTCTGCTTCCAAAGGAGGCTTTCTGGGGAAGGGCGGGGAGCGCGGTGACCCCTGTAAGGCAGGTCCTCGCCTCCTAACCGTGGAGGACGAGCGGGAAGGGGACTGCGTGACCCCAAATATACTCACCCCTTCTTAAGGAGAAAAAAGCCATGAAATAGCTACAGGCCAGTGCCGTTGTGATCTGGGAACGGTGACGCATTGTTCAGAATGTGTGGTCCTGGTCACACGTACCAGGAAAAATGGTGGGGAAGCGCGGCTATTTGTGCCATGATAGTTTGACCCGCCGCTGCGTGATCCGATGCA